ACATATATAAGGTATTATTAGTGTAACAGACCTTCTCCCTCGACGCGGTTGGCAACACAGCGATGTCTAAAATGCGCACCGGAAAACTTGTCGCTTCTTTGCAATACACTTCTATTTCCTCACAGCCCAGTGACATTCGTTATAAATTGAGGAGACAGATAATTCAATGGTGTTGGGGTCGGTAATTACATCATGTATTTTTTTTTTTTAAGAAACAGAACTTGAATAGGCAATATTTACATCGTAGAGTTGCCAGCGACTATTTTTATCTGGCAGATAAACGGCATGCGGGGTCCACGTGAATATCTCTGTGTCATGATGATGGATGTGTCTGTGGATGTGTGTGTGTGTGTACACACACACACACACACAATATAATATGATCGATTGGAGATTATGGTTGATGTTGAAAATAAGCAGAGTAATTACAGCGGTAGTATGGATAATGATAAATAATGATGTGACCATGGTACTGCCGAATGACAGCAACAGGTGATAGTCATAGTGATAATGACCTGGATATATTGTGTTAAAGTTTTTATTTTCAGTTTTGCATGTTTAACTGTAAAATGCAGTAACTTATGATAATGGTAATGATAATGCTGATAATTGTAAGTTATTGTAATGATACTAATGATGGAAAAAATAATGATGATAATAATGATAGCAATTATTGAAAAGAGTAATATTAATAACAATGAGAATAATATTACTAATGATAACGATAATGAGAAAAATGATAATGATAATGATGATAATGATATTGATACTACTACTACCAATGATAATGATGATCATGAGGATAATAATAATGGTAATAATGATAACAATAAAAATAAAGATAATAATGATATAATGATAACGATACAAATAAAGATAATGATATAATGATAACAATAAAAATAAAGATAATAATGATATAATAATGATGATAATTGTGAAGGTAGAGGTTGGGAGCTCCGCTGTCACGCGATGTGAACGAAAGGGAGGCCTTAGTGCAGGTGGATGAAAAGGGCCTTGGATTGGGGGTTTATTGATGAAGGTAGATGTAAGACCCCAAGAGAACCCCCCCCCTCGTCTCCCGGGCTGCCGAGGACGGAGTAGTGACGACCTAGACCCTGTGTGTTTCTCTCTCTCTCTCTCTCTCTCTCTCTCTCTCTCTCTCTCTCTCTCTCTCTCTCTCTCTCTCTCTCTCTCTCTCTCTCTCTCTCTCTCTCTCTCTCTCTCTCTCTGCTTTGGCTTCTCTTGGGCAGGTGCTTGCTTTCGCCCGCTGGAGTGTCAGATTCATTCGGCCATGACAAGGAGGTGAGTTCAAAGGTGAGTTCGAGTGGGAGAAGCAGATCACCTGGAAGGAACTTGGGGAAACCAGGCTCAGGAGTGGAAGGTGCGAGCCGCCCTCTTCCTCTGGCGACTCGGGAGGAATGCGACGGCAAGGGACAGCCTCTGTTTCAGCTCCAGATATGTGGAACGATATTGTCTACAATAATGATGATAATGATAACAATGATGATGATAACAATAATAAAGATAATTATAATGATAATGATAATAATAGTAATATTATTAATAACAATTATCATAGTAATGATAATGGTAACATCAACAACAACAACAATGATAATAATAATGATAAAAAATATGATAATGATAATAGTAATAATAATGATAATAATAACAATAATAATGATAATGATAATACATAACTATGATAATGATGATAATAGTAATAACAGTAATGATGATAATGATAATAATAATGGTAATGTTAATGGAAATAATGACAATGATACTTATATGAGGATGATTATGGTGATAATGATAGTAATGATGACAATAACAATAATGATAATAATAATGGTAGTAGCAGCAGCAGTAGTAGTAATAGAGGTAAGTAATAATAATAGTAATTATGATAATGATAATGATGATAACATTGATAAAGATGATAGTAATAATAACAATAATAATGATAATGATAATAAGATGATAATAAATGATAATAATAATGATAATAACAATAATGATACTGATACTAATAAAGATAATAATGATTATAATGATAATGAAAATGATGCTGATAACATTAATCATATATGATAATAATGATAATGATAATAATAATAATAATAATAATAATTGTAATGATAATAATGATTATAATAACAAAAATAATAGCAATAATAATGATAGTTATAGTAATAGTAATTATAATAAAAGCAAAAACAACAAGAACAACAACAATAATAATTATAATGATGGTAATAGAAATAATAGTAATGATAATGATAATAACGACAACAAAAGTAACCATAAGAAAACAACAATAGTAAGAACAATAACAGCACCACCACAGCAATAATGATAATGATACTAATAATAACAATAAACACAACGTTATTAATAATAAAAAACAATGATAATATCAGCATAATAATCATAGTTTACATTCATATGTCAATGTTATGTATCTTTTGGATCCAAATGTACTTAGATGTTATAA